TAATTCGGAACTTTTAATCTACTACTCAAATAAAAAGAAAATGCATTTAATAACATTAAAAAGTTATTAGTTTATATTTTTTCTCATTGTACTAATTCAATTCAATCAAACTTAATTTTAAAGATAAAATAACAGCTTCATTTTAATTGTTATCAATATATTTCAAAAAATTATCGTGAAAAGGCTTTTCTTGCACCTTATTTTAATTTTCATATACTATTATTATTTTTTCTGTCATTTTTCAATGATTTTTTATTTCGATTTAAAATTTAATGTTTATTCTTAAAACTCTGATGGTACAAATTAAGGTGGAGTAGAATATAATAAATGATGATTCTTCTACTAAATAAGAAGATATAATGAAATTGAAAGGGTGAAACTTTTTTTTTTTAAATGGATAGGAAATTCTATTAAGGTATCATTACGTCATTATTCAATATATTTTGAATATAAATTTAATTTGCTGATGCATTTGTTTAGTACTCCTTCTGTCCCTAATTACTTGTTCACTTTTCTTTTTATAGTTGTCTCTAATTACTTGTCCATTTTTACAAATCAAGAAAGAACATTTTTTTTTACCTATTATACCCTCAATTAAATAACTAATTACTTTGAAAATTGCAAACTTTTCATCTACTTCATAATTAATAGGGGTAAAATGATAAACTCACTATGTCATTAATTGATTTCTTAATAAATGTGTCAATTTAAAAGTGGACAAGTAATTAGGGACAGAGGGAGTATTACAGTGTTATTTGACATTATGAGATATTTCTTAGACATTTAAGAAGAATGGTACACCGGAATATATATTATATATTAAAGGATCAACTTCATGCAATGGAAGAATTTGTTATTAGCAAATATATTTTAACTTATTTGATAAAAAATATATTCTTCCTCATTTAATAGACGTAAAATTTGTGAAGCTTTATTTTTTTCACAATCTTCATATTATTAAAACAAATAAAAATATTACGATTAAACAACAGAGTAAATATAAAATTAATCAAAAATATTTAATTTAAATGATCGTGCGAAGTGCGGCCAAGTTCTCTAATTTAAAACAAAAAAGTAAAATTTAAATGGGTCTACTATAGAATTTCTAGAAATCGAACTTGGAAAATTATGTTAAAAATGGAACATAAAAAGTGAAATAAATTTAATTGAGAGTTATCCTTTGTCTGTCCCATTTTATGTAACACTTTTTATTTCTCGAGAATCAAATAGTTTAAGTTTGACCATAAATTTGCGTATGATATCTTCAATTTTTTTAAAAGAATTGGAAAAATTAGATAAATAGTAATCTTAGCTTCTAAGAAATGTCACATCATCATTTACATATCCAACTTTTATATATATAAAAGAGTTAAAAAATAAAAAATAAGTGATTTAAGAAAATTATATAAATAACATTAATGATGAGATGATGATTAAGAAAAAACGTCAAATAAATTAGTAGTATTGATGATGATAAAAGTTAAATAAATCATTTTTTCTATTATTTAAATTTTTAACATAACATTTCCAATCTTTAAAAATAAAAAATAAATGTTAAAAAAAAATAAAAAATCGAGGCAATAATTATTTTAAAGAAAAATATAACCAAAATTGTCAGAAAAACACGTTTACAGAAAGCAGTACACATTTCAATGTGTATAAAAAGTAGAAGTAGATGAAGTTACTTTAGTTCATCTTTTTGGTGGGCCTCAATGTACAATTTCTATAGCTTTTAGTCCAACTCTTTAGTGCAATGTTGGTCCTCCCAAACTCCCATTTCTAAATAGGAGTAAAATATATATATAAATGGGCCCAAATGAGGTAGGTAATTAATGGTGTTAAATTGTCCAATAATATAAATTTTAAAGGTACAACCATAAAAGAAGAATGTACAACACTATCAAAGCATATATCATCCAACACTTATCATGTGCTAAGTAGTAGATATTCCCACTTATTATATATATAAAAGCAAATAAGTAAGTAATTAAAGATGTAATACGTGTCTGCCAAAGAAAAGGCTGCATACACGTGGCTAGGCAAGAAAATAAAAGAAATAAAATGGGTCCAAAGTGAAGGTACAATTTATGTTACTTTTGGTACAATTTCGTGTTGCTTTGTTTGTCCTTTTGGTACAACTTGAACTGCTTTTGGTATGACTTCTTAAAGCTGTGTTAGTCCCAACCACAACTTGAACTGCTTTTGGTATGACTTCTTAAAGCTGTGTTAGTCCCAACCCAAGTGTCACTTCTAAATAAGAGTAAAGTAATATATATATATATATATATTTGGCTGATTTAAATTGCTATATGAATACTTTCCACATTTTAACTTCTTTTTTAATCTAATGAAGACAACTCAATTGTGGTATTAAGATTCCAATTTTGGTCTCTAAGTCAATTAATTATCTCTTTGGAATTTTTAGTACATGAAAATTTCTGGGAAATAAATAAGCTGGAAATATCATGTAGGTTCCCTTCTTCTAAGGTAAAGATATATGAACTCATACTGAAATATTGAATCCGTCGCTGGATTTATATTCCTTTCCATGTGTGTCATGCGTGATACGTATTTGGGAGAAGACTTCTAATTCTTTAAAAAAAATTAATTCCAAATAATTCAAAAATGGGTCAGATGAAATCACTAATTCTTTTTGCTTTCATTAATATGATGTTTAGATGATATTGTGCTCATCACCACACTGATTGATGGTGCATTGGCCTTATCATGAGAATTTCAAGAGCGATATGTTTCATGACAAGCATTACCTTATAATTACTTTTTTAGATAATTCATATAACTTCAAAAGAATCCTTCTTTATAAATCGAGTATATACTGGCCTAGTCGCGATAGGGATGTGTATGGGAATGGTAGAACTAGTCAAAATAGTAGTAGATTTGCTTATTTTGATGGAATGGGTAGATTTTTCTCAAGTGATATGTTGCAATTCAATGTTTCTGATATGGGGTTTGGGATATTGAGAAGATTGACTATAGATACTGATGGGAATTTGAGGATGTATAGTTTGGATAACTCGACAGGGTTATGGAAGATGTCGTGGCAAGCTATTGCACAACCTTGTGCTGTGCATGGAATATGTGGAAGATTTTCGATATGTACTTATGTATCGAAGCCTAAATGTACATGTCCTCCTGGATATGAGATGGTTAATGGAAGTGATTGGAGTAGAGGTTGTAGGCCAATGTTTAGATCAAGAAATTTGGAGTCTAGACATGTCAAGTTTGTGGAAGTTCCTAATGTTGATTATTGGGGTTTTGATCTCAATGTCACTGCTCCTTTGTCATTTGAATCTTGTAGGGAATTGTGCTTGTAGTTCCTAATGTTGACTATTGGGGTTCATGGAAGTGATTGGAGTAGAGGTTGTAGGCTAATTCTGTGATGGAAATCTTTCATCTTTAACTAAGAAAATTTAACAAAAGGACTCAAAATACACAAATCCAAGTTCTTCATTTAGAGTTTTTAAACAATAGAACAACATCTTGCAAAATCTTAAGTAAACAACAATAAGAAGTAGGGTTTGGGGAGGATAACATGTACGCAACCTTACCCCTGCCTTTGGGATAGAGAGGTTGTTTCTGACCCTTGGCAACCATCCTTCTTTATTCGGGCTTGGGACTAATAATGTAAAATCTCAATTAAACATTCTTCATTAATGTTCCATGTTTCCTTCTTATGCAACATTGGAGTATTATAAATTAAATTATTGTCCTTATATATGACTAGTGGAGTAATATCATTTAGCAATGATCACAAACCAAAAAATGTATACTATTTCACACCTTTTCCTTCCATTCTGCATCTTTTTTTTTAATCAATGTAAACTAAAGGAGAGTATAGTAAAATTGTCGTCATATAGGTCATGTCTCGAGATGAGTTATTGAACTTTCTTATGTATTATTGCTGATGCAATAGTAACATATGATGCTTTCCTTTTTGTGTATATCATCACTCCTTTTGCGTATGCTTTTGATATAGTTCTCACGAAATCTAATCTAAATAGCATTATATATTTTACTTTTTTTTGCTGCATTCTTTCATTTTTAGGCTTTATTTGGGAAATCCCAGAATATTTGTCGACTTTTCTTGTGTTAATTTGAGCAAAAAAATTGTGGGGTTGGTAGAAAATGGCTGGATGTTCATCAGGTATCAGGTTATCTCAGTTTACATCTCTGAAAAATGAAATCTTTATCATGGGGTCCATTAAAGACTCTAACTTTACGTTTGTTAAGAATCAAGATTTTGTGGGTATGAGGAAAATCGGTTATTTGGTTTGTCAGAAGAATTACAAGTCAAGATTTTTGGTTAAGAGTTCATTGAATCCAGAGGGTAAATCAATATCTGGTGTTAGTATAGAGACAGTACTCAAAGAGAATGATACTTATTCTGTTGGGAAAGACGTAAGTCTTCTTGATGCTGATAATGGTGGTGATGGGGAGGGAGATTTAGCTGTTGGGAATGGTGGAAATGGGAAATACCCTGGTGGTGGTGGCGGCGGCGGAGGTGGTGGTGGAGGGGACAATGGAGAAGGTGATGAGGAAGAAGATGAATTTGGGCCATTACTGAAGTTTGAGGATGTGATGAGAGAGGCAGAGTCTCGTGGGGCTACACTTCCTGCTGATATGATAGAGGCTGCAAAGAGTGTTGGGATCAGAAAGCTACTTTTGCTTAGATATTTGGACTTGCAGGTAAAACTTGATTAGGTGGAAATGATTAACCTGTTTACAAAATGGTTTATTGGAAATGTGCATTTTGATTGTATTTTTGATTGGCAATTCGTCTTTTCGTGAATGTAGGGGTCAGCTTGGCACGGGGCTGCAATGAGGTCGTCCGCTATGCTGCGGAACAGAATGTTGGCTGATCCATCATTTCTTTTCAAAGCTGGAACTGAGGTTTGTGTTAAGCTTGATTTTGATATTGCTGTTCTGTAAATAAATCATTGAAATAGTTGCTCCTTGAGCTACTGCTATTAGTGTGCAATGGAGATGATATTTCAATCTGCCCTGGCTTTGGGTAGAAAGGGAGCTGTAAGTGTTCTTATCTTGGTCTATCCTGGTGTTTTTGTTGAATTGAATTCGAACATAAACAGAGTGACTTTCATTATAAAACTTTAGGACAGAGGGAATCAGAAAGTTTTTTTCTTGTCCTCTACTACTCCTGGTTCAGATGCTTCGTCTTTTTTCCTTTCAGAAGACAACAGTCCCTATTTTTTTGTTTAATGAGACTCAATATTGCAGTAAGCATTTACCAGAAGTTATGTTACTGTGGCAGGTTGATGAGTACATGAGTCGGACTGAAAATGCAGTCATGTTCTATTCAAAAGCTGTGCGGTTGTTAGCATTCCTTCAAGTGGAAGCACCATCTCTGATTTTAAACCCTCCATTTTCTCTAACAAACTCGGATCGTTATAGGCTTCAAAATTACATTGATGTCCTTAATAACAGGCAAAGCGTTTCAAAGTCTCAAATGATGGCTCTGCTCAAGTGTGAAGATCAACACTGCTCTCCATAAGGAGGAGAGAGAGCTGTTAATACAAAACGACGATAACATGCCAATGCCTTACTCTGTAAAATTCTTTTGTCTGTACAGTTATTCTTTTAGCAATATTTAAAGTGAAAAGGAAAAAAAAGAAAAAAAGAAAAACGGCAACTCATTTTCTTTAACGCTTGTAACATTATGTTTCTTTTTCGTTAATTAAATTTTAATTCCCCTGGACCATCTCCTTATGTTCATCTGGAGGCAAAGCCTCTATCAGCACATTGAGCTCTTTGTTAGCTGATATCCATCTTTTCTAAAGACTAGTGGTATGCATCCTATTAAAAATTTAACTTCAGATATCTGTATCTTTACAATAGTGCTTTGATTTCACTTCTTTGGAGTCGAGGGTCTGTCAGAAACAACCTCTCTACATTCGCCAAGGTAGAAATAAGTTTGTTCTATTATTTCCATTTCTTTCACCTGTAAAAATTGGCAAAAAAATGGAATAGATCGAGTGATGTGATAGAAGGCACAGAAAATATTCTAATTTGTGTCGGACGACATGCTTTAAACTATGCATTGTATGTTCAGATTTTAACATCTGATGCACACTGTGATTCTTATATACCAAATTACAGTTCTTGTATTATAATTGGCAGTCCACAAATTAAATGGTCTTAAGATCCAACTCTCTAAGAGACTAAAGTTTTGCCTGGGGGCTGCTAATAAAATACCCCCCTCCCCTAGATGTAGGTCCTAATTTATTATTATGTTCCATTATTTGCTCCGTATAGAGAGCATGAGCTGAATTAGGAGCGCAAAGGATTCATCTAAACCTTATTTGTCGGAAGATTTTATATATATCTAAGGGTAAGTTCAACAGAGTAGTTGTTAGACTAGTAGTATCGTATGAGACAAGAGTGTCGAGGAGGAGGTGCGCGAATCCATTAGTTTGGAAGAGTGGGAGGTTGGTTGTAGCAGCAAGGGATAGGAGAGGTAGATGTAGGCTAAAAAAGAACAGGATGAGGTGACATGACTTGACACACCTTCAACTTACTAAGGATATGACCATAAATACGAAGATATGAGGTCGAGAAGGTTAGTAAGTGATAAAGTGTGGTCGCTTGTTAGGTGGGAGAGGCAAGGGGCTTGCCTCGTATCCTCTTCTCCTAGTAGTAGTATTTAGAAATCATGTGACTTTTCTATCAATAATTTCTCTTTTAAGCAGAAGTTCTATCGGAAACAACCCCTCTACTCGTAAAGATAGTGTAAGATATGTGTTTCAGACCCCACTCATGGATTACACTGAGTTGTTATTGTTATTATATATATTTAATTCCTTCAAATTCTTTATGTATTTATTTCTTCATATTATATGCCGGTTCAAGGACCACTAAGAATGCGTGTGTGCAAGGTCATTTCCTTTTTTATTTTCTTTGTTTCCTTGAAAATGATATGCACGAGTCTTTGCATAGTTAATTAATATAGAAGTAGTTAAGACTCATATAAAAAGGAACATGACTTAATTACTATTCAACTGTGATATTAAGAATCCAACTTTGGTCTTTGAGTCAATGGATTGTACCTTAGAAGTTTAGGTGCATGACAATAACTTAAAGGAAATGAATATTCCCTCCGTCCATCTTTACTTGTTCATTACATGTTTGATTTGGCACATATTTAGAAAACAATAAATTATAGGGTAATTTTACTGCATTATCCCTATCAATTACAATTCATTTAAATGTTGAAAAATGAATACTCTCGGATAAGTATTTTTAATTTACTGGACAAGTAGAGATGAATGGAGGAAGTAAACTGGCCTTGTGGAAACTGGAAATATATTCCAGTGAGTTCCCTTTTTCTAAGGTAAAGATAAAGACTGGAAAAACAAAACCAATATAAAAGACCAATAGTGAGTGACTTTTGACAAGTTCTCCATGGGAAGGCAAATGCAACTATCTCTCTCAATTATTCCAATTCTAATCTATTCCCCACTTGTATCATGAGTTTATATGAGAAGACTTTGAATATATTCTTTTATACCATATAATAATTCAAAAATAGGCCTAGTGGAGTCACCATTTTTCTTGCTTTCACAATTTCTTTTTATAGGTGGTGGTTAATGATGGTAGTTGGTTGTGGCACTTGATAATTGTGGTTGGTCATAGTGATAGTGATTAATAGCGATATTTGTCAATATATAGTGATGGTTGATAGTGGTGATTGTTGTTACATATATAGTGATGGTTGATTATTATAGTAATAGCTATTGACGGTAACAATCGAATATAATGGCTAATGGTGACGACTAGTTGTGGTAATTGACGACAGTGGTGGTTATGAATGAGGACCGTGGTCGTAGGTAATGAGCGATAATAGTTTATTATAGTGGGCGATAGTGATAGTTAGAGATAAAAAATCCTTGAATATAAGGTTGACTATGATTGTTTGGTTCGGAAAGTCATGGAAGAGACAAGCTAAGTAAAATAATATATATCGATGCTATTGATTATAGAATCTTATGAATCTAGCACGATATATTTTCTATATCTTTCCTGTTTACAAGACAGAATCTTAGAGTGTATCATGTTCGCCACCACACTAATTGATGGTGCATTGGCCTTATCATGAGAACTTCAAGAGCAATATATTTCGTGGTAAACATTGCCTTATATTTACTTTTTTAGATAATTCATATTACTTCAAAGAATCGTTCTTTATAAATCTAGTATCAATCCTAAGTAATTTCATAAATGGTCACTTAATCACAATTTTCTCATCAATATAACAGAAAAGTCTCAATAGCTAAAACTATAACCTTTCAATGTACTGACATATAATTTTTTGACTGATTTAAATTGCTATATAAACACTTTCCACATTTTAACTTATTTTTTAATCTAATGAAGACAATTCAACTGTGATATTAAGATCCCAATTTTGGTCTATGAGTCAATGAATTGTCTCTTTCGAATTTTTGATATGACAATTAATAAACTGAAAATATCTTGTAGGTTCCCGTCTTTTAAGGTAAAGATAGACTGAAAAAAAAATTAATAAAAGACCACTAATGACTTTTGACAAATTAATTTACAAGTCCTCCATGAGAAGGCATGCAAATGCAACTACCCCCAATTAAGTCCAGTTATATTTGAGCAGATTCAAAATTTAAAGTTTAGAAAAAAATTTGAAGACCTTTCTTTACGTTTTGTTTGTTTTACAGATCTTTTTTCACATTTGTAATATTACGACAACAACTCTTATATTTTATTTTATTTATTTTTAATAAAAAAATAATATATATCTGGATTGATTTGTCCTCTCTAAAATCATGCTCTTTTAATTAATTATTATTTTATTAATATTATCTTCAAAAAGTTATTTATCTTTAAGGAATATTGAAATAGAATACTATGAATTGGTCACCATTACTCTTGAGGTTGTTGTACAAGGGAGGTACATGAAACATTGAAAATATGAATTCATATTAATTTGTATTTATTATAATTTTGGTATATTTTTAATATATAAATTTTTATTCTACGTCAAAAATATATGAACTCATACTGAAATATTGAATTCGTTCCTGAATTTATATTTCTGTCCGTGTGTGTCATGCGTGATGCGTATTTGGGAGAAGACTTCTAATTCTTTAAAAAAATAATTCCAAATAATTCAAAAAAGGGTCAGATGAAATTACTAATTCATTTTGCTTTCATTTTTTTTTTATTAATGTGATGTTTAAATGATATGAATTTATTTTTATTTTTTTTGTCATCTTTGAAATTTGAATCATGATCTTTAAACTTCCACACGTTATCATCATTAAACCAATTTTTAATTCTTTCTTTTTAATATAGTTTAATTCTTCCATCAATAACCAAGCCTAATAATGATAACCATCGTTGTCAGCCGCCTCAATGTCAAACAAACATTTGCCTATTTATATATTGTCCGTTCATTTTATTTGTTCAGTATTAGCTTAATGTATATTTATAGAATGGAGTAATAAATAAAATAATTGAATTAATGTAATAAGAATTGATTAAAGTTAGATATGGATTAGAAACTGGGTATAGTGAACGAGTAAAAATAAACCAACAAAAGTACCAACTTAAAAAGAAAAGAGAAAAAACATGTCCTCAAATCATTGTCATTCTTAAATTCGCACTTGCTAATAAATTATTATAGTATGCATACTTTATTATCTTTGTCCTTTCAATTTGAACCAACTAGAATATTTCTTTTATTTAATTTTTTAATTCTTGAACCAATTTGATATGTTTGACTAAATCTTTGAAAAAAAAAAAAAAACTATACATTATAAAGCAACCCCATCACTTCTTTCCCTTCATCGACTTTCAACAATTATGATTTTTTCCACATTCTTGAAACCATGAAAAGTTTGAATCTTTACCATCTTTTTCCCTTTTTAGTTTTCTCATTTCTTGTTTTGTCTTTCCCTTTGATAACATCATCAAGAATTTTGCTTAAAGGTGATTCTTTTTCAGTTAAAGATGATTCACATTTCTTTACTTCTCCACAAAAAACATTCACTTGTGGTTTTTATCCTATAGAAAGTACTAGTAATGCTTATTATTTTGGAATTTGGTATACAAATTCAAGAGAAAAAACTGTTGTTTGGAATGCTAAACAAGATAGGCCTGTTAATCTCAAAGGGTCAAAGTTGACATTAAGAAAGAATGGAGCTTTAGTTTTAACAGATGTTGATGATACAATTGTTTGGCAAACAAACACAACATCATTTGATGTTGAAAAGGCTGAGGTTCTTGAAACAGGAAACTTAGTATTGAAGAATCCTAAAGGTGATGTTTTGTGGCAGAGTTTTGATTTGCCTACTGATACTTTATTGCCTGATCAAAGATTTACCAAGAATCATAGATTAGTTCCTCCTTTGAGGAAAGGGAGTTTATCACCTGGATACTTTAGTTTGTACTTTGATAGTGATAATGTATTGAGAATGATTTATGATGGTCCTTTCGTTTCGAGTATATACTGGCCTAATCGCGATAGGGATGTGTATGAGAATGGTAGAACTAGTCAGAATAGTAGTAGATTTGCTTATTTTGATGGAATGGGTAGATTTTTCTCAAGTGATATGTTGCAATTCAATGTTTCTGATATGGGGTTTGGGATATTGAGAAGATTGACTATAGATACTGATGGGAATTTGAGGATGTATAGTTTGGATAACTTGACAGGGTTGTGGAAGATGTCGTGGCAAGCTATTGCACAACCTTGTATTGTGCATGGAATATGTGGAAGATTTTCGATATGTACTTATGTATCGAAGCCTAAATGTACATGTCCTCCTGGATATGAGATGGTTGATGGAAGTGATTGGAGTAGAGGTTGTAGGCCAATGTTTAGATCAAGAAGTTTGGAGTCTAGACATGTCAAGTTTGTGGAAGTTCCTAATGTTGATTATTGGGGTTTTGATCTCAATGCCACTGCTCCTTTGTCATTTGAATCTTGTAGGGAACTGTGCTTGGGTGATCCACGTTGTCGTGCATTTGTCTATAGGCGTACTGGGGAGAGATCATGCTATACTAAAGGCATCCTTTTCAATGGATACAGGTCTCCTGGTTTCCCTGGAAGTGTATTCTTGAAACTCCCTATGAATCTAAGTGCATCAGAATCAGGTCATTTGATGCTTGAAGGTACTGATGCAAAATGTGGATTGAGTCCCGAAAACGCTCTTTTTGGTTCTCCTTCTATGTATGTATTGGATTTTAAGAAGGTGAAGTGGATTTATCTTTACCTGTTTTGTTCCACCCTTGGTGGAATAGAGATTCTGTTCTTCGTATTAGGCTGGTGGGCGTTGTTTAGTAAACATGGGATTCCTGCTTCCATTGAGGATGGATATAAAATGGTGTCATCGACTCAGTTCAGGAGGTTTACGTATACTGAACTTAAGAAAGCAACAAAAAACTTCAAGGTTGAGCTAGGAAGAGGAGGTTCAGGAGCTGTTTATAAAGGAGTTTTAGCAGACGGAAGAGAGGTAGCAGTCAAGAAACTTTCAAATGAGTTTCAAGAAGAATTTTGGGCAGAGATGACTACCATAGGAAGAATCAACCATATGCATTTGGTGAGGATGTGGGGATTTTGTTCTGAAGGTAGACGTCAGCTTTTGGTCTATGAATACGTCGAGAACTCATCACTAGACAGGCATCTTTCCAGGGCTGATATTCTTGGATGGAAACAAAGGTTTGCAGTGGCACTAGGGACAGCCAAAGGTCTGGCATATCTTCATGATGAATGTCTTGAATGGGTGATTCATTGTGATGTGAAGCCTGAAAATATACTTCTCGATAGTGAATTTGAGCCCAAGATTGCAGATTTTGGACTTGCAAAGCTCTCCCAAAGAGGTGGCCCTGGTTCAGATTTCTCCAAGATTCGCGGTACTAAAGGCTACATGGCTCCTGAATGGGCTTTGAACCAACCTATAACAGCAAAAGTTGATGTTTATGCCTTTGGGATTGTAATACTAGAAATGATCAAAGGAAGTAGGCTGTCAAGTTGGGTGGTGGATGATAGTGAATGTGATCACGAACAAGATTCACAGCTCGGAAAATTTGTCAGGATGGTGAAGAGGAAGATTCAAAGTGGAGAAGATTCTTGGGTGGAGAAAATTGTCGATCCACGACTAGAATGCAAATTTAGCAAGAACCAGGCAGTGACACTGATTGAAATAGGCATTTCTTGTGTTGAGCAGGACAGAAACAAAAGGCCTACAATGGCCTCAGTAGTCCAAACATTGCTGGATTGTGAAGATGAAACAACACATATAACATAGGAATTTCCATTTCTAAATGTAAACACTGATTGGAATTTGTGAATGGAAATTGAATAAACCATTTTGTTTTTTCATTTTTGACTATCAAAACTCTTATAATTCTCTTAATATCCGCGCGTTAACTTCTGCAATCTTGATCATATATACAAGCTAATTCTGTGATGGAAATCTTTCATCTTTAACTAAAAATTTTTAACAGAGGACTCAAAATACACAAATAGAAGTTCTTCATTTAGAGTTTTCAGACAATAGATCAACATCTTGCGAAATCTTAAGTAAACAACAACAAGAAGTAGGGTTTGGGGAGGGGTAACATGTAGGCAACCTTACCCCCTGCCTTTGGGATAGAGAGGTTGTTTCCGACTGACCCTTGGCAACCATCCTCCTTTCTTTGGGCTTGGGACTAATAATGTAAAATCTCAATTAAACATCCTTCATTAATGTTCCATGTTTCCTTCTTATGCAACATTGGAGTATTATAGATTAAATTACTGTCCTTATATATAACTAGTGGAGTAATATCATTTTAGCCATGATCACAAACCAAAAAATGCCTACTATTTCATACCTTTTCCTTCCATTCTACATCTTTTTTTTTAATCAATGTAAACTAAAGGAGATTATAGTAAAGTTATGTCTGTATGACTTATAGGTCATGTCTCGAGATGAGTTATTGATCTTTCTTATGTATTGTTGCTGATGCAAAAACATATGATGCCTCTCTTTTTGCGTATATCGCCACTCCTTTTTGCGTATGCTTTTGATATAGTCCTCACGAAATCTTTATGTATTTATTTCTTTATATTCCGGTCCAAGGGCCACTACGAATGCGTGTGTGCAAGGTCATTTCCTTTTTTATTCTCTTTGTTGTCTTGAAAATGATATGCACGAGTTTTTTTTCTATTCTTTTGGTGTAATAAGGACGACCTCTTTTGCATAGTTAATTAATATAGAAGTAGTTAATTAAGACTCATATAAAAAGGAACATGACTTAATTACTATTCAACTGTGATATTAAGAATCCAGTTTTGGTCTTTGAGCAATGGATTGTACCTTAGAAGTTTAGGTACATGACATTAACTTAAAGGAAATAAATATTCATGCCGTCCGTCCTTAGTTGTTCATTATATGTTTGATTTGGTACACCTTTAGAATATAATAAATTATAGGGTAATTTTACTATGTTATCCCTATTAATTACAATTCATCTAAATGTTGTAAAATGAATACTCTCGGATAAGTACTTTTAGTATACTGAACAAGTAAAGATGAATGGAGGAATTAAGTAAACTAGCCTTGTGGAAACTGGAAATATATTCCAATGGGTGCCCTTTTTCTAAGGTAAAGATAAAGACTGGAAAAACAAAACCAATATAAAATACCAATAGTGAGTGACTTTTGACAAGTTCTCCATGGGAAGGCAAATGCAACTCTCTCTCCCAATTATTCCAATTCTAATCTATTCCCCACTTGTATCATGAGTTTATATGAGAAGACTTTGAATATATTCTTTTATACCATATAATTCAAAAATAGGCCTAGTTGAGTCGCCATTTTACTTGATTTCCCAATTTCTTTTTATAGGTAGTGGTTAATGATGGTGGTTGATTATGGTAATTGATTGTGATGATTGATAATTGTGGTTGACGATAGTGATAATTAATAGTGGTGATTGATAGCGATAACTGTCGATATATAGTGATGGCTGATGATAGTGATTGTCAGTATATAGTGATGGATGGTTATTATAATAATAGTTGTTGACGGTAACGATCGAATATAATGACTAATGGTGATGACTAGTTGTGGTAACTGACGATAGTGGTGGTTATGAATGAGGACGGTGGTCGTAAGTAATGAATGATAATAGTTAATAATGGTGGGCGTTAGTAATAGTTAGAGATGAAAAAGGATGGAGTAACGGTTACTGTCATCTTTAAGAATCCTTGATATTCAAGGTAGATTAAAGTTTGGTTGGTTTGTTTGCAAAGTCACGAAAGAGACAAGTTAAGCAAAATAATATACCGATACTATTGAATATGAAGTTTTATGAAGGCATAATACATAAACATGACCCTTAAGTTGGCTTGAACGAACAACTATGTCCTCTAACTTTGAATGTGCACAAGTAAGCACTTAAACTTGTATAAAATTGAACAAGTAGACACAAGTGTCCTACATGGCATAATACACATAGGATACAAAATTGTCATGTAGGTGCCATGTAGGACGAATGTGTCCATTTGCTAAATTTTATACAAGTTTAAGTGCCTACTTATGCAGACCCAAAGTTAAAGGTCATAATTGTCAATTGACACTAAGATAATGGTCATGTTAATGTATTATGCCTTTTATGAATCAAGCACAAAATATTTTCTATATCTTCCCCGTTTATAAGATAAACAAATTAATGCAGAGCATATCGTGTTTGCCACCACACTGATTGATGGTGCATTGGCCTTATCATGAGAACTTGAAGAGAGAAGAAATATTTTGTGACAAGCATTACTTTGTATTTACTTTTTTAGATAATTCATATAACTTCAAAAGAATCATTCATTATAAATTGAGTATCATTTATGAATAATTTTCATAAATGGTCACTAAATCACGATTCTCTCATCAATAATTTTTTAATCTAATGAAGACAATTCAACTGTGATATTAAGATCCCAATTTTGGTCTATGAGGCAATGAATTATCTCTTTGGAATTTTTGATACATGACAATTACTGAGAAATAAATAAAGTGGAAATATCATGTGGGTTCCCTTCTTCTAAGGTAAAAGATAGACTGGAAAAAAAAAATTAATTAAAGACCACTAATGACTTTTTCTAAAATTTAAAGTTTAGAAAAAAATTTAAAAACCTTCCTTTACGTTTTGTTTGTTTTACAGACCTTTTCTCACATTTGTAATATTACGACTACGACTTTATATTTTATTTTATTTATTTTTAATAAAAAATAATAAATATCTGGATTGATTTGTCCTCTCTAAAATCATGCTCTTTTAATTAATTATTATTTTATTAATATTATCTTCAAAAAGTTATTTATCTTTAAGGAATATTAGAATAGAATACTATGAATTGTTCACCATTACTCTTGAGGTTGTTGTAGAAGGGAGGTAGATGAAACATTGAAAATATGAATCCATATTAATTTGTATTTATTATAATTTTGGTATATTTTAATATATAAATTTTTATTCTACGTCAAAAATATATGCAATCATACTGAAATATTGAATCCATCCCTTAATTTATATTTGTTTCCGTGTGTGTCATGCGTGATGCGTATTTGGGAGAAGACTTCTAATTTGTAAAAAAAATTAATTCCAAATAATTCAAAAATGGGTCGGATGAAATCACTAATTCTTTTTGTTTTCATTTTTTCTTTATTAATATTATGCTTAAATGATATGAATTTTTATTTTTTTTGTCATCTTTGAAATTTGGATCATGATCTTTAAAATTTACGTCCACATTTTATCGATCATTAAACCAATCGTTAATTCTTTCTTTTTAATATAGTATAATTCTTCCATCAATAACCAAGCCTAATAATGATAACCATCTTTGTTAGTCGCCTCAATGTCAACAAAACATTTGCCTATTTATATATCGTCGGTTCATTTTATTTGTTTAGTATTAATTTAACATATTTTTATAAAATAATAAATAAAATAATTGAATCAATGCAATACGAATTGATTAAAGTTAATAATGTATGGATAAGGACCTGAGTATAATGAACGAGTAAAAATAAACAGAACAAAAGTACCAACTTAAAAAAAAAAAAAAAAAAAAACATGTCCTCAAATCATTGTCATTCTTAAATTCCCACTTGCTAATAAATTATTATAGTATTAATACTTTACTATCTTTGTCCTTTCAATTTGAACCAACTAGGATGTTTCTTTTATTTTATTTTTTAAATTCTTGAACCAATTTGAGATGTTTGACTAATGCCTCTAAATCTTGAAAAAATAAAACTATACATTATAAAGCAACCCCATCACTTCTTTCCCTTCATCTACTTTCAACATTTATGATTTTATCCAAATTCTTGAAACCATGAAAAGTTTGAATCTTTACTATCTTTTTCCCTTTTTAGTTTTTTCATTTCTTGTTTTGTCTTTCCCTTTGATAACATCATCAAGAATTTTGCTTAAAGGTGATTCTTTTTCAGTTAAAGATGATTCACATTTCATTACTTCTCCACAAAAAACATTCACTTGTGGTTTTTATCCTATAGAAAGTACTACTAATGCTTATTATTTTGGAATTTGGTACACAAATTCAAGAGAAAAAACTGTTGTTTGGAATGCTAAACAAGATAGGCATGTTGATCTCAAAGGGTCAAAGTTAACATTAAGAAAGAATGGAGCTTTAGTTTTAACAGATGTTGATGATACAATTGTTTGGCAAACAAACACAACATCATTTGATGTTGAAAAGGCAGAGGTTCTTGAAACAGGAAACTTAGTATTGAAGAATCCTAAAGGTGATGTTTTGTGGCAGAGTTTTGATTTGCCTACGGATACTTTATTGCCTTATCAAAGATTTACCAAGAATCATAGATTGGTTCCTCCTTTAAGGAAAGGGAGTTTATCACCTGGATACTTTAGTTTGTACTTTGATAGTGATAATGTACTGAGAATGATTTATGATGGTCCTTTAGTTTCGAGTATATACTGGCCTAATCTCGATAGGGATACGTATGGGAATGGTAGAACTAGTCAAAATAGTAGTAGATTTGCTTATTTTGATGGAATGGGTAGATTTTTCTCAAGTGATATGTTGCAATTCAATGTTTCTGATATGGGGTTTGGGATATTGAGAAGATTGACAATAGATACTGATGGGAATTTGAGGATGTATAGTTTGGATAACTCAACATGGTTATGGAAGATGTCGTGGCAAGCTATTGCACAACCTTGTATTGTGCATGGAATATGTGGAAAATTTTCGATATGTACTTATGTATCGAAGCCTAAATGTACATGTCCTCCTGGATATGAGATGGTTAATGGAAGTGATTGGAGTAGAGGTTGTAGGCCATTGTTTAGATCAAGAAGTTTGGAGTCTAAACAACATGTAAAGTTTGTGGAGATTCCTAATGTTAATTACTGGGGTTTTGATCTCAATATCACTACTCCTTTGTCATTTGAATCTTGTAGGGCATTGTGCTTGGACGATCCAAGTTGTCGTGCATTTGTTTATAGGTTAACTGGTGAGGGATCATGCTATACTAAAGGCATCCTTATTAATGGATACAGGTCTCCTGGTTTTCCTGAAAGTGTATTTATGAAAGTCCCTATGAATCTAAGTGCATCAGAATCAGGTGTTTTGATGCTTGAAGGTACTGATGCAAAATGTGGATTGAGTCCCGAAAACGTTCTTTTTGGTTCTCCTTCTATGGTGAAGTGGATTTATCTTTACCTGTTTTGTTTCACCCTTGGTGGAATAGAGATTCTGTTCTTCGTGTTAGGCTGGTGGGCATTGTCCAGTAAACATGGGATTCCTGCTTCCATTGAGGATGGATATAAATTGGTGTCATCGACTCAGTTCCGGAGGTTTACGTATACTGAACTTAAGAAAGCAACAAAAAACTTCAAGGTTGTGCTAGGAAGAGGAGGTTCAGGAGCTGTTTACAAAGGAGTTTTAGCAGACGGAAGAGCAGTAGCAGTCAAGAAACTTGCAAATGAGTTTCAAGAAGAATTTTGGGCAGAGATGACGACCATAGGAAGATTCAACCATATGCATTTGGTGAGGATGTGGGGATTTTGTTCTGAAGGTAGACGTCAGCTTTTGGTCTATGAATACGTCGAGAACTCATCACTTGACAGGCATCTTTCCAGGGCTGATATTCTTGGATGGAAACAAAGGTTTGCAGTGGCACTAGGGACAGCCAAAGGTCTGGCATATCTTCATCATGAATGTCTTGAATGGGTGATTCATTGTGATGTTAAGCCTGAAAATATACTTCTCGATAGTGAATTTGAGCCCAAGATTGCAGATTTTGGACTTGCAAAGCTCTCTCAAAGAGGCGGCCCTGGTTCAGATTTCACAAAGATTCGCGGTACTAAAGGCTATATGGCTCCTGAATGGGCTTTGAACCAACCTATAACAGCAAAAGTTGATGTTTATGCCTTTGGGATTGTAATACTAGAAATGATCAAAGGAAGTAGGCTGTCAAGTTGGGTGGTGGATGATAGTGAATGTGATCACGAACAAGATTCACAGCTCGGAAAATTTGTCAGGATGGTGAAGAGGAAGATTCAAAGTGGAGAAGATTCTTGGGTGGAGAAACTTGTTGATCCACGACTAGAAGGCAAATTTAGCAAGAACCAGGCAGTGACACTGATTGAAATAGGCCTTTCTTGTGTTGAGCAGGACAGAAACAAAAGGCCTACAATGGCCTCAGTAGTCCAAACATTGCTGGATTGTGAAGATGAAACAACACATATAACATAGGAATTTCCATTTCTAAATGTAAACACTGATTGGAATTTGTGAATGGAAATTGAATAAACCATTTTGTTTTTTCATTTTTGACTATCAAACTCTTATAATTCTCTTAATATTCGCGCGTTAACTTCTACAATCTAGATCATACAAGCTAATTCTGTGATGGAAATCTTTCATCTTTAACTAAAAAATTTTAACAGAGGACTCAAAATACACAAATAGAAGTTCTTCATTTAGAGTTTTCAGACAATAGATCAACATCTTGCGAAATCTTAAGTAAACAACAACAAGAAGTAGGGTTTGGGGAGGATAACATGTACGCAACCTTACCCCTGCCTTTGGGATAGAGAGGTTGTTTCCGACTGACCCTTGGCAACCATCCTCCTTTCTTCGGGCTTGGGACTGATAATGTAAAATCTCAATTAAACATCCTTCATTAATGTTCCATGTTTCCTTCTTATGCAACATTGGAGTATTATAAATTAAATTACTGTCCTTATATATAACTAGTGGAGTAATATCATTTTAGCCATGATCACAAACCAAAAAATGCCTACTATTTCATACCTTTTCCTTCCATTCTACATCTTTTTTTTTTAATCAATGTAAACTAAAGGAGATTATAGTAAAGTTATGTCTGTATGACTTATAGGTCATGTCTCGATATGAGTTATTGAACTTTCTTATGTATTGTTGCTGATGCAAAAACATATGATGCCTCTCTTTTTGCGTATATCGCCACTCCTTTTTGCGTATGCTTTTGATATAGTCCTCACGAAATCTTTATGTATTTATTTCTTTATATTCCGGTCCAAGGACCACTACGAATGCGTGTGTGCAAGGTCATTTCCTTTTTTATTCTCTTTGTTGTCTTGAAAATGATATGCACGAGTCTTTTTTCTATTCTTTTGGTGTAATAAGGACGACCTCTTTTGCATAGTTAATTAATATAGAAGTAGTTAATTAAGACTCATACAAAAAGGAACATGACTTAATTACTATTCAACTGTGATATTAAGAATCCAATTTTGGTCTTTGAGTCAATGGATTGTACCTTAGAAGTTTAGGTACATGACAATAACTTAAAGGAAATAAATATTCATGCCGTCCGTCTTTAGTTGTTCATTACATGTTTGATTTGGTACACCTTTAGAATAGAATAAATTATAGGGTAATTTTACTACGTTATCCCTATTAATTACAGTTCATCTAAATGTTGTAAAATGAATACTCTTGGATAAGTACTTTTAGTATACTGAACAAGTAAAGATGAATGGAGGAATTAACTAAACTAGCCTTGTGGAAACTGGAAATATATTCCAATGGGTGCCCTTTTTCTAAGGTAAAGATAAAGACTGGAAAAACAAAACCAATATAAAAGACCAATAGTGAGTGACTTTTGACAAGTTCTCCATGGGAAGGCAAATGCAACTCTCTCTCTCTCTCAATTATTCCAATTCTAATCTATTCCCCACTTGTATCATGAGTTTATATGAGAAGACTTTGAATATATTCTTTTATACCCTATAATTCAAAAACAGGCCTAGTTGAGTTACCATTTTTCTTGCTTCAACAATTTTTTTTTTATAGGTAGTGGTTAATGATGGTGGTTGATTATGGTAATTGATTGTGATGATTGATAATTGTGGTTGACGATAGTGATAATTAATAGTGGTGAATGATAGTAACGACTGTTGATATATAGTGATGGTTGATGATGGTGATTGTCAGTATATAGTGATGGATGGTTATTATAATAATAGTTGTTGATGGTAACGACGATCGAATATAATGACTAATGGTGATGACTAGTTGTGGTAATTGACGATAGTGATGGTTATGAATGAGGACGGTGGTCGTAGGTAATGAATGATAATAGTTAATAATGGTGGGAGTTAGTAATAGTTAGAGATGAAAAAGGATGGAGTAACGGTTAATGTCATCTTTAAGAATCCTTGATATTCAAGGTAGATTAAAGGTTGGTTCACAAAGTCATATAAGAGACAAGCTAAATAAAATAATTTACCGATACTATTTGAATATAAAATCTTATGAATCAAGTACGATATATTTTCTATATCTTCCTTGTTTACAAGATAAACAACTTAATTTAGAGTATATCGTGTTCATCACCACCAGGCAGTGACACTGATTGAAATAGGCCTTTCTTGTGTTGAGCAGGACAGAAACAAAAGGCCTACAATGGCCTCAGTAGTCCAAACATTGCTGGATTGTGAAGATGAAACAACACATATAACATAGGAATTTCCATTTCTAAATGTAAACACTGATTGGAATTTGTGAATGGAAATTGAATAAACCATTTTGTTTTTTTCATTTTTGACTATCAAACTCTTATAATTCTCTTAATATTCACGCGTTAACTTCTGCAATCTTGATCATACAAGCTAATTCTGTGATGGAAATCTTTCATCTTTAACTAAGAAAATTTAACAAAAGGACTCAAAATACACAAATACAAGTTCTTCATTTAGAGTTTTGAGACAACAGAACAACATCTTGCGAAATCTTAAGTAAACAACAACAACAAGTAGGGTTTGGGGAGGATAACATGTACGCAACCTTACCCCTGCCTTTGGGATAGAGAGATTGTTTTTGACCCTTGGCAACCATCCTCCTTTATTCGGGCTTGGGACTAATAATGTAAAATCTCAATTAAACATTCTTCATTAATGTTCCATGTTTCCTTCTTATGCAACATTGGAGTATTATAAATTAAATTACTGTCCTTATATATGACTAGTGGAATAATATCATTTCACAAAAAATAATAAATGTTATACTATTTCATACCTTTTCCTTCCATTCGGCATTTTTTTTTAATCAATGTAATGCGTCTTGGAGCAATAGTAAAGTTGTGTCTGTATGACTTATATGTTATGTCTCGAGATGAGTTTTTGAAACTTTTTTATGTATTGTTGCTGATGCAACAGAAACATATGATGCTTTCCTTTTTGCATATATCGCCACTCCTTTTGCGTATACTTTTGATATAGTCCTCACAAAATCTAATCTAAATATCGCTAATATCTGAGAATTAGCTAAGTAATTTTATTAATCTAATAAGGTTATTTTATTTTTAATATGCTGTATTGTCTACAAAGTAGTCCAAGTTCACATCCTATTAAATATAGTATATGTTCCTTTATATCTTATACTATGTCATTCCTATAATTTTTACTTCTTTTTTTCCACCTTAAAGTCACTCAAAACAAAAATCTCACTTCTTATTTTATAAGTATTTTATACTTTAAAAATAGAGGCAATTTAAGGTAACACTCATTTTATCAAATCATTCAATGGAAAAATCTAATTTTTATATGTTTCTCTGATTCTCTCATGCACGCCCCACCAACCCCACCCACCCCTCCCCACCCTACACACTTTTGTGAAATTCCTACTAGGTAAACTGTGGCGAAATAAGTAGAGCTTAACCTAGCTTAATCATACAATCATCATCAAATCTTGAACTAATCCACTACTCATTTTGCTTTTTTGCTGCATTTCTTTCATTTCTAGGCTTTATTTGGGAAATCCCAGAATATTTGTCGACTTTTCTTGAATTAATTTGAGCAAAAAAATTGAGGGGTTGGTAGAAAATGGCTGGTTGTTCATCAGGTATCAGGTTATCTCAGTTTACATCTCTGAAAAATGAAATCTTTATCATGGGGTCCATTAAAGACTCTAACTTTACGTTTGTTAAGAGCCAAGATTTTGTGGGTATGAGGAAAATCGGTTATTTGGTTTGTCAGAAGAATTACAAGTCAAGATTTTTGGTTAAGAGTTCATTGAATCCAGAGGGTAAATCAATATCTGGTGTTAGTGTAGAGACAGTACTCAAAGAGAATGATACTTATTCTGTTGGGAAAGATGTAAGTCTTCTTGATGCTGATAATGGTGGTGATGGGGAGGGAGATTTAGCTGTTGGGAATGGTGGAAATGGGAAATACCCTGGTGGTGGTGGCGGCGGCGGAGGTGGTGGTGGAGGTGACAATGGAGAAGGTGATGAGGAAGAAGATGAATTTGGGCCATTACTGAAGTTTGAGGATGTGATGAGAGAGGCAGAGGCTCGTGGGGCTACACTTCCTGCTGATATGATAGAGGCTGCAAAGAGTGTTGGGATCAGAAAGCTACTTTTGCTTAGATATTTGGACTTGCAGGTAAACATAGATTAGGTGAAAATAATTAACCTGTTTACAAAATGGTTTATTGGACATGTGCATTTTGATTGTTTCTTTGATTGGCAATTCGTGTTTTCGTGAATGTAGGGGTCAGCTTGGCTCGGAGCTGCAATGAGGTCGTCCGCTATGCTGCGGAACAGAATGTTGGCTGATCCATCATTTCTTTTCAAAGTTGGAACTGAGGTTTGTGTTAAGCTTGATTTTGATATTTCTGTTCTGTTAATAAATCATTGAACTGTAGTACAGTAGAAATAGTTGCTCCTTGAGCTACTGCTATTAGTGTGCATCGTGTTGTGTCTTTGATTCTGTTTACATATCTTACGACTTGGAGCAATTAGTAATTCTAGTTGTATAAGCAGGCTAAACTTGCATTACACGTGGTGAATTTCTATGGACCTTGAAATCACGTGGCACCTTACCTACTGTTCATTGTTTTTTTGTTTCGTCGTGATGTTTATACTTGATATGCCTTTTACTTAGAATTCACGGGTTCCGTTGGTTCTGTGATGTAGATAGTCATTGATACTACTTGTGCAACAGTAGCAGAAGTTCAAAAGAGGGGCAAAGATTTTTGGGCGGAATTTGAATTGTATGCTGCAGATATGTTGGTTGGCGTTGCTGTCAATGTAGCTCTAGTTGGGTTGCTAGCACCATATGCTCGAATTGGGCAACCGTCTGTATCTCAAGGTTTTGTTGGTCGTTTTCAGAGAGCTTATGGAGCACTTCCAAGCAGGTTTTGACTTATGCAATCCCTGTGATATTGTCGCATTTAATTTGAGCACTATTTAGAAGATTTTCACTTTA